TCTAAATCGGGACCGATTTTCTCGAAATTTAGCAGACATCATGTTAGGCTCAATTCAGTACTTTATGCCAAATTTCGTGCAAATCGAAAGATATATAGGGACTTTTGTGTACCATTTACTTAAAATCGGACGAAAGTATATATGGGAGCTATATCTAAATCGGTACTGATTTTCTCGAAACTTGGCAGACATCACATTAGGCCCAATTCTGTACGTTATGCCAAATTCCATGCACATCGAAAGATATATAGGGACTTTTGTGTACCATTTACTTAAAATCGAACGAAACTATATATGGGAGCTATATCTAAATCGGGACCGATTTTCTCGAAATTCGGCAGACATCATTTTAGGCTCAATTCAGTACGTTATGCCAAATATCGTGCAAATCGAAAGATATATGGGACACTGATGCACCATTTACCTTAAATCGGACGAAAATATATATGGGAGCTATATCTAAATCTGAACCGATTTTTCCCAATTTCAATAGGGTTCGTCCTTGGGCCAAATAAATGAACTGTGCCAAATTTCATCCAATTCGGATCATAAATGCGACCTGTACTTTGTTTACAATTTAACATGGACAGACGGACGGACATGCGTAAATCGACTCAGAAAGTGATTCTATGCATAAAGGGACCATGTGTCTATCTCGTTTCCTTTTGCCTGTTACAAACATATGCACAAAGACATAATACCCTGTTCCACAGTGTGGTGAAGGGTATAAAAATGTGAATTCTTTATTTTATTTCTGAAATACCCTTTCGGCCTATTACGGTTTAATGTCTAAAAATAATTGTTTATTAGTTTGCTTAATAAAGAGAATATTAAAAATATTTCTCTTTATGTTATTCACACAAAAAAATCATTCTCTTAAATACAGTACACCCGTCTATGAATATATTAAAAAATACTGGCTTTTGATCTTCTCAATTCGAAGTAAAAAAAAAAATAAAATATTTTCTATGAAGAACTCCATACCGATCAGTTATCAGATACCGGACAGTTAGCGAGACAAAATTTTAAAATACCTACGAATAACATTGATGGATTATTTCAATAAAAAAATGTGCGGAAATTCTTGTTTTAGTTTTTTTTGAATTGATACTTCTTTTATTGTGTTAACTCCAACGGTTGATTCACACATTGGATTGCCTATAACCATTCAAAACAAATTAATCTTAACAACAACAAAAGAAATCATATCATATGTTGTGGGGGGTTTCCTATGTCATTTAAGATATGACATGAAAACAAAAAATTATAATACGAAAAAAATGTCACAAAGCCATGCATAAATATATGTTAGGTTCGTGGAATTTGTTTTTAGTTCATTTTTTATTTTTTTATTTGAATTTGAATATTAATAATAATAAAAAAACAAAAAAACGATGATTTTAATAAAGTCAACATTTGTTGATTTGTAATTTGCCCGTTTTATATATTAATTTGTTTTCTCTCTATGCGTGCTGGTTTCATTTTAAAACAGGTCAAGGTGCAGCTTTGATTGTTGCCATTATATTTTGAATTCTGTTTTTTTTTTAATTTTTTTCTAGTTTTAACAGCTGCATAGTTTTTTCTTTTTGATATAGAAAATTTCAATAACATGTCTACTTATTAAATTGCATTAAGGAAGACATTAGTTTTTTATTTTTTTGAAAATTTTTAAAATATGTTATTATTATACCCCAAACTGGTTAAATACGCACAAACCTTATTATGTGTATCAAATGTTGTATTAGCGTCATTATAGGCCTTGGCTAGACTTTTTTTTAGAATGTTTTTAAGATGTTCTTAACATTTATGGATATATTTTTTTTTTCAAATCCTATATTTCACCTTTGCAAAATGTATATGAACTGATACTAAATCTAATATATTTCTAATGAAATCACATTAATCAGGAAGCAGTAATGAAAAACTAAATGACTCTTAAATAAATTAGAGTCATAATCACGGAACACTCGGAATATTTAAATATATTAAAAAATCCAGTCCGTGCTGTTCTCATAATTTAATTTAAAATTTATAAACTCCGATTTTTCCTTAGATAATAATTTTTTTTAAATCATCAAAGCAGCTGTTTTGGCTCTAAAAATATATTAAAACCACCCGTATGGTTCTTAAAAATACCAGATGTTGAGTTGTTATTTAAAAAATTAAATTTTAAAAGTTTAGTCTCTGAGATTAAGAAAATAAAAAACAGGTTCTGTTTTTTTAGACAAAGAAAAGCAGGAATTGTTTTGGTTGTTGAGAAAAATATGTAAAATTTCATGCTCATTTTATCGACCAAAAATTATATTTGAGTACAATTTAGTACAAATTTTCTGATTTTATGCTCAGTTTATCGACCAAAAATTATATTTGAATACCATTTACTACCAAATTTCATGATCCGAGCTCTAAAGGTTCACCCAAATCCAAATTTGACCAAATTTAGTTCCAATTAGCACACATCATTTCCACAAGTACCCTGCTCAACCATCCAACAAAACTTTCTGCATACCTCGATCCTACACCCTCTCAATGATTCCAAATTCAAATTTCAGGATTCCAACTCTATTGGTTCACCCACAATTTAAATTGTAACAAATTTAGTACATAGTAGTACGAATTTTTAAAACCTTCTACTTAACCCAATGATTCTAAATCCAAGTTTCAGGATTCCAACTCTATCGGTTTACCCACTATTTAAATTGTACCGTATTAAGTACACTTAGTACAGATTTCCAAAACGTCTTACTTACCCCAAACCTACACCCCCACAGTTATCCTAAATCCAGGTTGCAGGATTCCAAATCTATCGGTTCACCCACAATTCAAATTGTAACAAATTTAGTATACAGTAGTACTAATTTCCAAAACTTCCTAAATACCCCTATCCTACATCTTCACAGTGATCCTAAATACATGTTTCAGGATTCCCACTCTATAGGTATACCCATAATTCAAATTTTACCAAATTTAGTACACAGTAGTACGATTTTCCACGATTTGCCCCTAAATTCAAGTTTCAGGATTCCAACTCTATCGCTTCACCCACAATTTAAATTGTACCAAATTTAGTACAAAGTAGTATGAATTTCCAGAATCCCTTTCTTACCCCAAACCAACACCCCACAGTGATCCAAATTCCAAGATTCATGATTCCTACACTATCGATTCACCCACAATTCATATTGTACGCTTCACCCACAATTTAAATTGTACCAAATTTAGTACAAAGTAGTATGAATTTCCAGAATCTCTTTCTTACCCCAAACCAACACCCCACAGTGATCCAAATTCCAAGTTTCATGATTCCAACACTATCGATTCACCCACAATTCATATTGTACAAAATTTAGTACACAATAGTACCAATTTCCAAAACTTCCTACATACCCCAATCCTACACTTCCACATTGATCCTAAATCAAAATTTCATGATTTCAACTCTATCGTTGCACCCACAATTTAAATTGTACCAAATTTAGTACACATTAGTACAAATTCCAAAACTTCCTACATATTTCAATCTTAGACCTCAATAGTGATCCTGAATCCAAATTTCATGATTCTATCTCATTGGTTCACCTAAAATTCAAATGGTACCAAATTTAGTACCATTTAGTACCCATAAGTATTAATTTGTTAAACTGAATCCTGACCCTAATCCTACACCCCTACAATGATCCTGACTCCAAATTTCATTCCCGCTCTATCGGGAACAATGAAATCCAAATTGTACCAATTATAGTACGATTTAGTACTTTTTGTACACATAAGTAAAAATTTTCCAAAACTATCTCGACTAGCTGAGTCGATCTAGAAATGTGTGTCCGTCCATCCGTCTGTCCATTATAATTTGTTAACACGATACAGGCCACAGTTATGAACCAATCTTCACGACATTTTGCATGTAGGACGGGTTCGGCCCAATGAAGACCCCTATTGCTTTTGGTAAAGGTCGGTTAATATTTAGGAGATGAAATGGACCAAATATTTAATTTTTGTAGGCTTTTCTGGTCGCTCTAGAGGCCGGAATTATGGCCCAAACTTCGCGAATTTTTACATGGAGAAGGGGGAATTAGCAAGCCTGTTTTGATAAAGATCGGTCAATATTTGGCGGGTCAAATGGACCCCGACTTTTGTGTGAAAAATGACAAAAATTCTATTCTATAGCGTATATATTTTCCCCTAAAGAATATAGACCCAAGAAGTTGATAGTATATCCAGGAGTAGTGGTTGACCTTTAAATTGATACCAATTACATTGTCGTATATACTCGGATGTGGGAGTTACACTTCAATATTTACAGGTGCTTACGTATTCATATATTATTTTGTAAACCATTACCACATTAGAGGGTGAAAATATAGCGCGGATCGCTTTGAAAATTTCTATGAGGATCCAGGTATGGTCAAGGACAACGCCTATAATTTTCGGTGATGATCAGATAATAATTTTGTAATGAAGTGGACCGAAAACTTAATCTTTTGTGTTTTTTCGAGTCGATCTATAGGCCACAATTGAAAGCCGAACATTACAACATAATCCACGGTGAAGGAAATCTGGACAAGTAATTAGAAGGGCTGTACTGAATATTAGTAATAATAATATTTGTTGACCTCTAGTCGTCAAAATGGTGCAAATATCGCGAAGTATTGCCCAAGCTCAGTACCACAGAAAGTTAGATTTTCGTGGAAGTTAGATTTTCGTCCGACTATACTGCTGCGCTCACTGGTTTTCTGTTAATTCCACGTTTTCAATCCTCCCATCTTGAAAAATATTAAAAAAATATATTTTTTGTTTTCATATTAACTATAAATAATTTATTTGTATGCGGTTCTTGTGTTTTTTTTTTGTCTTTTCAAATACTGATCACTTAACAAAATATATAGTCAATATTTTCACTTCACTAAATAGATTAAACAAAAAAACAATTTAACAATATTATTAACTACTTACAAACTAAGAGAAAAAATAATAACTCAATAAAAATACAAATCTCCACTTTATTCTGTAGGTGGCGCTGGTGTCGAGTGGGCTTTGATGTATTCAATTGAGCGTAGAATATAATCCGGTATTGGTGGTGGACGGGGTAAATGGCGCCCAACAACATGGAAACCTAATTCATCGGCAATATAACGCACCTCAATGGGTACGCCTTCGGGCGATGTGTAACTATAGATGCCAATTGATTCCAGTGGGCTGCCAGCTGCTTGTACAGAAATACCATTACTGGTGGCATAGGCATATTTGAAAACACCTTTTTCATCGGCAGGAGCTATACGAAAATCGGTAATTTTTGCATTATGTTCGTCTTCATCCGCAGTCGTCCTAGTGACTGTTGTTGTGATTAACAGGAATAACACTGCCAATAGGTTGAGCTGTACGAGGAGGAATAGAAAGAAATAGAAAAGTCCCCAATGAAATTGAAATTATTAGGAATTTGATTTTTCCTCCGCCAGACTTACAAATTCTTTGGTGGGCATGTTGTAAAGCCTTCTTGCACTTCTTGAAAATCGGTAATCCAAAATGTAGTTTTGAGTTTTTGTTTGTAAATCCAATGGTGTGTAGAAGCTCTCTTGTAGCTTCTTTTTGTTGTGGATTCCTCGTTTTGTCCGCAAATTCTTTGCCGTTGTTTCTTCGTCCAACGTTTTTGATAAAATGTTTCTTGTTTTTCTTAAGTATCGTCATAATATTTCCGCTAATTAGCATATTTTGGGGCTTTAAGCTCAACGAGTTCGTGTTCGAGTTCAGCTATGCTGCTGCTGCTCTCAGCCAAATTGGCTGTTGGTTGGAACAAGCAAATTCATTTTATGAGCTTGTTTCGTTTTGTTTAATAGCCCAACAAAAACAGAAACGATGAATTTTCGGGTCTATCATTGATTTGTTGGCATTGTTTGTTTTTTAGTTTTGGAATTTGAATTTGGATTTGACCGAAACGTTTTTTTAGCCGGTTTTTGACATGTAGGTTTGTGTTGTTCTCACTGTGGCAACAGTGAGAAGAACAAAAAGCTAAATTCGCCTAAATTCGTTTTTGTTGGGAAACATTTGCCCTCCAGGCATTTGGCCCAAAACTTGTTATCAAATTTTAATTTCCCTTTTAAGGGCACACGTTATCTGCCAGTTAGTCGTATTCTGTAATGTAGCATAAAATATTGAAAAAAAAAAAATCAAAATATTTATTCTTTCGATCTGGTTATCCATCCATCCAATGTCAAAAAAATTTGATTTATAATGAGAATTTGGAAATTTATTATCAGCAAAAAGTGATACAATTAATTACAAAGCATCCCACTCATCACTTTGTATATTCGATTAGCATGACCACCAACATTTCCATGGAGAGGGGATCTATGGCAACCTATTAAATCGACATTAATTGATCATAATTTTTTTGCTAGTTAATTATTATGTGTGATTAATGTTAAACAAATAATATTTTTGTTCGCTTACACTCATGCAAAAAATGTTAGTAGATTTAGATTTTTTTATCCCTCACAAAACGCAAGGTATGCCAAACGATATCCACTTCGATGGGAAAATGTGACTAAATCTTTTCAATTTCCGGCGGGACCCTTAGTGGGAAAATTTTATTAAAATACGTTCTCCATACTCGAACAATTCGGAATGTGGAATTGAGGCTATTTTTGAAATCTTTAATAAATCCAAAATATGAGGGACCCATATAAAATATGAACCTATATTGAAAATTATCTGCATGGAGATATGTCGCATTCCAATGTGCTTTCTAAATCGTGAAATTGGCGAAAATGGTCGGGATCTTTATATGGGTGATATGTCCAAACATAGCACTACATTGTATGTTTTCTGCAAGAAGGTATGTCACCCTTCAATACACCCTTCTAAATATGGAACATAAGGCAAGATCTTTATAGGCTGGCTATATCAAACAAAAACATGGGCCTATATCGAATAATTTCTCCAAAAATATTTTTCACCCTCAAAATATTTTAAGTCAAAGAAGCCACTTTGATAAAAAATCGTCATTTTATGCAAAAAAAAATAACTATATATAACCCCGGAATGGAACAAAAAAGGAGACAAGACGATATGTGCCAACTATAGAGGAATAAGTCTCCTTCCCATCGCATATAAAGTGATATCCATCGTACTGAGTGAACAACTGAAGCCAATGGTCAATGACATTATTGGACCATACCAATGTGGCTTCAGACCAGGCAAATCCACCATTGATCAGATTTTCACTCTTCGCCAAGTCCTGGAAAAAATCCACGAAAAACACATCGACACATTCCACCTATTCATCGCATTCAACAGCCCTATCCGTTCAGAGGTGTATAAAGTCATGTCTGCGTTTAGCATTCCTGCAAAATTAATTCATATATGCAAGATAACATTAACTGGCACAAGATCAGCAGTTAAAGTCGAAAAGGACCTCTCGGAGCCCTTTTATACCGAACGAGGATTCAGACAAGGTGATAGTTTGTCGTGTGACCTTTTTAACATCCTGTTGGAAAAGGTCATATGAGAGGCAAAAGTGAACAGAAATGGCACTCTGTACAGCAAACAACACATGTTAGTCGCCTACGCCGACGTCCAGTAGACTCGGACCAACTGTGGAACTTGAGAACTACAGCTTCGAGGTAGTCAAAGATTTTATATACCTTGGTTTAGCCATAAATAAAACAAATGACATCAGTTTTGAAATTTGGAGAAGGATAGTGATGGCCAACCGATGCTACTATGGTCTGAGCAAACAACTCAAAAGCAAGGCCACCTCCCGCCAGACCAAACTCACTCTCTACAATACGCTGATACTACCCGTGCTGTTATATGGATCTGAAGCATGGGTACTTACGCAAGCAGATGACACAGCTCTTGGAGTGTTTGAGAGAAAAATTCTTCGAAAGATCTATGGGCCGATCTGCGTTGTCTGTGAATATCGCTGTCGAATGAACCATGAGTTGTATCAGCTATTCCCGGACATCGACATTGTTAGACGTATTGAGCGGCAGCGACTACATTGGCTAGGTCATGTTATGAGAATGCATGAAGATGCCTCAGCCCTGAAGACATATAAAAGCGAACCAGCAGATGGTTCACACAGAATGGGAAAGGCCACGAATACGATGGAAAGATCAAGTCGAACACAACATTGCCGAAAATGTTCATCCAAATTGGAAAAACTGCGCAAAAAAAAGACCGACCCACCTGGAAATCTTTTCTAAGCTCGGCTTAAGTAAGTGAGCAAGTAACCCCGGAATGTCAAAATGCAGTACCTTATGTTTGAAAATTTGATATTAATTTTCTAAATGTCGAAGAATAAAGCGTGACCTATATATGGGAGTTATTTCAAAAGATGGACATAACTCCCACCGGCATTTCGGATTCACCGCACCACTTTGGTGGTGCGGTGAAAACCATCAAGGTACCGAAAATAAAATAAATAAAAAAAATATAGTCGGACGGGACCGATACCCGATATGGGTATATTAAACAAATACATCCTAACAGACGACGCATTTTTGAAGGACCATTACCATGAAATTGGATGAACTAAAATATCAGATCTTTATCTAAATGCGAACCGTCATAGGCCAATTCATAAAAATATCATTCAGTTTGTTACATTCGGACTCCCGTTGAATATTTTTGGAGCCCAATTAATACGAAGTCGGTCGGAAATATATATGGCGTATGTCTGTATTTCTACAAAACGCAATTAAGGGAACCCCACCCATTCTCAATTTTAATTTTTCAAGATTTTCAATGGGCTGGTAAATCAATACCAATGCTTGTTAAGGTTTGTAACTTTACACATATATACAGTGAGTGTAATAAGTATTTTGCCTCGATACAAATTTGAAAAATTTCTGATATATACGCCTAAAGCCAGCGTACCAAAGATGTAAAATGAATTATGTATGATAGGATATGTTTGTGGACATATTTAGATCTTATTTCTGCAAGAATCACTGCGAACGACCTATTGGTCACGAAGATATCGGCAAAAATCTATACCAACCCAAAAATGATTATCACAAAAAAGTATTTTGCTTTTTATTATTATTTTTGAAAACAACTTTATATAACACACGCTTTGCTTTTTTATAGTTACTATTGCGGGTATCCACATACTAGAAGCGATTTGGCGTCGATTCCAATAAACCACGGCATTTTTTCCGCGAATATTTTCTCACATTTACGTTCAATACATTCTCCAGCAATATGTCATTTAATATTTGGTAATTTATCGTCCTCATCTCAAAATGAGAGTATTAAATATAGTCGTCGCGGCTTCAGAACATCCCAAATAAGTTTAGAATAATAAAAAGGAGGTTTTGCAAAATATATCGCAAGGACAGGACCTTAAAAACTATTAAAACAAAAATCCGACAAACAAATTATTTAAAAAAATATTGCGAAACCCCATTTTTCTGACTTTGAAAACTTTATGGTCCATTAATATTGATCTAGGAACCAATATATGCGATGGAAATAGGAATATGGAGGTCAGATTCAACTTATTTGGGATGTTTTGAAGCCGCGACGACTATATTTAATACTCTCATTTTGAGATTAGCACGAAAAATTACCAACTATTAAATGAAATATTGCTGGAGAATGTATTGAACGTAAATGTGAGAAAATATTCGCAAAAAAATGCCGTGGTTTTTTGGAATCGTCGCCAAATCGCTTATAGTATGTGGTTACCCGCAATGGTACCTATAAAAAGGCAAAGCGTGTGTTATATAATGATTTTTCCAAAAATAATAATAAAAAGCAAAATACTTTTTTGTGATAATCTTCTAGATCAATAGGTCTTTCGCAGTGAGTCTTGCAAAAATAAGATCTAAGTATGTCCACAAACATATCCCATCATACATAATTCATTTTACATCTTTAGTATGCTGGCTTTAGGCGTATATATTGGAATTTTGAGAAATTTATATTGAGGCAAAATACTTATTACACTCACTGTAATTGAAGATTTAAAATAGAAGAACAATTATTTACAAAAAAATTTTGTTAATGTTTTGTTGTTGTTTTTGGTAATTAAAGAAAAATCTTATATCTTATAACTCCTCACTGAAACATCGGAATCCGAAAATTCCAACGGTGTTAGAAGGAGTACATGCCTGGCTCTCGTATGAACTAGGATTATTGACTTCGCTCCAAAATTAACAAAATGGTGGACCTTTGAAAAATTATTTTTGGAAAATCGCCGATTTTTTACCAAAACCCAAGTTAAAAAATAAGGGAAATCTTCACCGATTGGCTTTATCCTAGTTCATACGATAGCTATACACTCACAGAGAAACGTGTAAAAATTTGAAGTCGATTGGGTTATTAGTTTTGGAGTTATCGTGCCCGCCATTCGTAAAAAAATGTTTAGAGAAAAACGCGTTTAGAGAAAACACAATAAATCGGCTATATCTTCAAGAGTTCTTGAGATTCTCATTTGAAATTTTGTAGGGACATTCTTTAATTAGTGTAGATTCGA